GCTGTGTTCATCCAGCTCCACAACTTGTTATCTCACCTTTCTCAGTAACATGGCAGTAGCAGCAGCGACGGTCACACAATCAAACCCATTGCAGCCGGTGAAGAAAAACAGCAAGCCACTGCCCCTTTTCAATTTAAGGCAACGTGACAAGTTTAAAATCTGCTGGAATCCCTGCAAAAAAAAACTGCTGATTTTCAACAAGTTTCAGATTTTATTTCTCTTATTTTCTAAGAACGCTCAACTCCCAACAGCTCAACATGTTTATCCAGGGCGTAGTTTAGCATCAGAGACCAGGAAGGTTCCAGTTTCCAACCTGGTCTGAGCTCAGGAATCATTTAAGGAGACAAAGCTCAAGGGAGAATTAAACACCATTGTGGAAAACAGACTGAGGAATGAAGGAAACCAGAGGCAGCTCTGGTTGATTCAGTTACAGACTCTGTGGACTTGCTGGTGTTTGCCTGACACTGAAATATGTTGTTTTTTAAGATCCAGTTCTGGTCACCCTGTTATAGGAAGGATGTTATTAAACTAGACAGGGTGATGAGATTGACCAGGATCTTGCTAGGTTTGGGATGTTTGAGTTATAAAGAAAGGCTGGATAGGCTGGGGCTTGTTTTTAACTGGGGCATAAGAGGTTGCGAGGTGACCTTACAGAAGTTTATAAAATCATGAGGGGTACAGATAAGGTCAATAGTCAGCGTCTCGTCCCTAGAGTGGGAGATTTCAAGAAGACAACACTTTTCTTCCTGGGACATGAGCATCAAGGCCAGCATTTATTGACCATCCATAGCTGCCCATAAAAAGGCGGAGGTTAGCCGTTTTCTTGAACCTGTATCAACACCAACAATGCCATGAGGGAGAAGCTCCAGGATTCTGATCCAGTGACAGTGAAAGAACGGTGATATATTTTGAAGTTAGGCTGTTTTTTAGATGGAGGTGTGTTTAAAGTTGGTGGTGTTCTTATGTATCTGCTGGCCTTGTCCTTCCAGGTGGTGGAGGTCATGGTTTAGAATTTGCTGCTGAGAAACTCTGATGATTTGCTGCAGTGTATCTTGTAGATAGTAAATACTGCTGCCTCAGTACAGGACAGAGTAGATGCTTGTGGATGTGGTGCCTATCAAGCAGGCTGCTTTGTCCTGGATGGTGTCAAGCTTCTTGAGCGTTGTTGGGGGCACTCATCCAGGCAAGTGAGGAGTATTCCATCACACCCCTGACTTGTGCCTTGTCGATGGTGGGTAGGCTCTGGGGTGTCTGATGTTCCCCACTGCAGGATTCCTCGCTCTGACCTACTCTGGTAGCCACTGTGTTCACATGGCGGATCCAGTTCACTTTCTGGTCAATGTTAACCCTCAGGATTTTGATAGTGATTTTTCAGTTATGGAGATGACATTGAACATCAAAAGGTCATGCTTAGATTTGCTCTTGTTGCAGACAGTCATTGCCTGGCACTTGTGTGGCACAAATGTCTTCTTGATACTCATTAGCTAAATCTGGATATTGCCCAGGCCTTGCTAAGAAAACAAACTGCTTCAGTATCAGAGGAATCGCAAACAGTGCTGAACATTGTGCAAAAATCGGTGAATATCCCCACTTATGACCTTATGATGAAGCAGCTGAAGATGGTTGGGCCTAGGACACATATCCTGAGGAACTCCTGCAGAGATGTCCTGGAGCTGAGATCACTGACCTCCAACAACCACGACCATCTTCCTTTGTGCCAGGTATGACTCCAACCAGTGGGGTGTTATCCTAATGATTCCCATTTTGCTTGGGCTCCTTGTTGCCCTGCTGCCTGGATGCCAAGGGCTATCATTCTCATCTTCACCTCTGGATTCAGCTCTTTGTTCCAGCTTGGCATTAACCTCCTGGATCAAGGCACAAACACAAGCCCAGGCTTCAGGCTGTAAGGATCCTGTGTCAAATGAGGTTAGGCAGCTATACTATGCTTCCTGCTCAGCATGGACTTACTGTACACAACTGTCCTTGAGAAACCACAAATCGTACTGTCACTCATGGAGGTCACACAGTGGTTGGAATTAGAATTAGAATTCAAATTAGGTTTTATTGTCACGTGTACTTAAGTACAGGGATACAATGAAGAGTTTACAAAGTTACCATTCTCCAGCGCCACCTTAGGTACAAAGGTACCCAGGTACAAAATCTTAGGTACAAAGTGGAAAAATAAAGAAATAAAGTTAGAAGTTCAACATGATAGTCCTTAGCCACAGGCCTGGATCCAGGCTTTCCCACCCCGGCACTGAGACGAACACCAGTCACCCTGCCTCAAGTCCCGCTGCTGCAGATCTGTGTCACCATTCTTCAGCGCCATCTTGTCTCGGCTAACGATGCCGTCGCCACGAGACCGCACTGGGCCAATCTTGTTGCTACGGTAAATGGAAAAGTCTGACTAAAATGGATGGATCAGTTGCTTCAACAAACCCTTCTGATGAAAGGTCAACCTTAAACATTAACTGCGCCCCTTTCCACTGCGCATTTCTAGCATTTTCATTGCTGATTCAGATTTCGTAGCTTCTGAGTTCTGGAATCTCCAGTATTTTGATCTTGGTTAACAAACAAGTTGCTTAATCAAGCAGACACAACACAGTGTGGAGCTGGAGGAACACAGCAGGCCAGGCAGCATCAGCGGAGCAGGAAAGCTGACGTTTCGGGTCGGGACCCTTCTTCCGACTCCAGCATCTGCAGTTCCTGCCATTTCCGCTTAATTAAGCGGCCTCTTCTGCCTATCTAAAAAAACACATGAACAACAAAACTCCTTCATATTGTACTTATCAGTCCTTTGCTGTACACCAGCCCATATAAGCTCCTGAGTGACAAAAACAGAAATTGCTGGAAAAGCTCAGCAGGTCTGGCAGCATCTGTGGAGAGAAATCAGAGAGTTAATGTTTCAGGTTCAGTGACCCTACCTCAGAACTGTTGTTAGCAAGGAAAATGTTGGTTTTTATGCAGAAGGTAGGGTGGGCTTCAGGGTAAGGAGTAAATGATAGGTGGAGAGAGAGCCCAAAGAGAGAGAGAAGGACAGCTGCACAGATAAAGGAGTGGATAACGATCAGCCTAGGAGAGTGAATAGCTACTAATGGAAGCTATTAGTGACTAACAATGGGTTGTGTGTATAGCAGACCGTGCGATAACAAGGTCTGGTGTTCTAGGGGTTGTGGTAAAGATATTATAGAAGCTCAAGCCCGAAAGTTGTTGAAATTGCTAGCTGTAGAACATAGAACAGTATAGCACAGTACAGGTGTTTCGGCCCACAATGTTGTACTGACCTATTATCCTATTAAGATCAATCCACCCTGCATTTCCTACATTTTACTATCCTCCATGTGCCTATCCAAGAGTCGCTTAAAAGTCTCTAAAGTATCAGACTCCACTACCACTGCCGGCAGTGCATTCCACACGCCCACCACTCTCTGTGTGAAGAACCTACCTCTGACATCTCCCCTATACCTTCCTTCAATCATCTTAAAAGTATGCCCCCTCGAAATAGTTATTTCAGCCCTGGGAAAAAGTCTCTGACTATCCACTCTATGTCTCTCATCATCTTGTACACCTCTATCAAGTCACCTCTCATCTTTCTTCGCTCCAATGAAAAAAGCCCTACCTCCTTCAACCTTTCCTCATAAGACCTGCCCTCTAGTCCAGGCAGCATCTTAGTAAGTCTCCTGTGCACCCTCTCTAAAGCTTCCACATCTTTCCTATAATGAGGTGACCAGAACTGAACACAATATTCCAAGTGTGGTCTAACCAGAGTTTTACAGAGCTGCAGCATAACCTCACAGCTCTTAAACTCAATTCCCCTGCCAATGAAAGCCAACACACCATACGCCTTCTTTACAATCCTATCAACTTGGATAGCAACTTTGAGGGATCTATGGACGTGGACCCCACACTGCTCCGGACTGCCATTAACCCTGTATTCTGCATTCAAATTTGACCTTCCAAAATGAATCACTTCACACTTTTCTGGGTTGAATTCCATCTGCCACTTCTTTGCCCAGCTCTGCGTCCTGTCAATGTCCCGTTGCAACCTACAACATCCCCTCACGCTGTCCATAACTCCACCAACCTTCGTGTCATTGGCAAACTTACTAACCCACCCTTCCACTTCCTCATCCAAGTTATTTATAAAGATCACAAAGAGCAGAGATCCCAGAACAGATCCCTGTGGAATACTACTGGTCACCAAGCTCCAGGCTGAACACTTTCCATCTACTACCACCCTCTATTGGACAGCCAGTTTTGTCTCCAGACAGCCAAATTTCCCTGAATCCCATGTCTCCTTACTTTCTGTTGAACTCGAAGGCTATGGAGTTCCCAAGTGGAATTCTAGAGCCTGAGTTCTTTCAGTTTTTATGTTTCTGAGTGGCCAGAGTAAATTCACAGCAGATGTGGACGTAAAAGTACAAAACTTTGCTTTTACAATTGCATTTTCAATAAGGTGAGACCCAGGTGGTTATTACACAGAATAAGGGCTCACAGGACTGGGGTGACCTATTAGTTTAGATTGAGAACTGATTAATGGGTGGAAAAATGACAGTAGGAATAAAAGGGTCAATTTCTGGTTGGCAGGAAGTTAACTACCGGGGCATCACAAAGAATTGGCGTTACATTCAATAGGAGTGGCAAAGTCCGAGTGTAAGGTTCGACGGGACAAAAGGTTAGGTGGGAAAATAAGCTGCACTGAAGCTACAGAGAAATACAGCCAGGTTAAGGGAGTTGTAAAAAAACGTAGGGGGTGACCTATAATGTGGAAAATGTGAAGCTATTCACTTTGGAAAGAAAAATATAAAAAAGTGAAGAGTGTGGTGTAGTTCCTCAGAAGTACAACAACGTTTGTTAACTGCAAGAGCCTGCAAGTGGAGCAATTTAACAGAAGAAAGCCATTGTGTTGCAGTTTCCACATGGTCCTAGCTAATCAGGAAATGGTCCCAGTCTTGGATAACAAGGTGTAGAGCTGGATGAACACAGCAGGCCAAGCAGCATCAGAGCAGCAGGAAGGCTGATGTTTCGGGCCTAGACCCTTCTTCAGAAATGGGGGAGGGGAAGGGAGTTCTGAAATAAATAGGGAGAGAGGGGGAGGTGGATAGAAGATGGATAGAGGAGAAGATAGGTGGAGGGGAGACAGACAGGTCAAAGAGGCGGGGATGGAGCCAGTAAAGGTGAGTGTAGGTGGGGAGTTAGGGAAGGGATAGGTCAGTCCAGGGACGGTGGACAGGTCAAGGGGGCGGGATGAGGCTAGTAGGTAGGAGATGGGGTGGGGCTTGAGGTGGGAGGAAGGACAGGTTAGGGAGGCAGGGACGAGCTGGACTGGTTTTGGGATGCGGTAGGGGGAGGGGAGATTTTGAAGCTTGTGAAGTCCACATTGATACAATTGGGCTGCAGGGTTCCCAAGCGGAATACGAGGTGCTGTTCCTGCAACCTTCGGGTGGCATCGTTATGGCACTGCAGGAGGCCCAGGATGGACATGTCATCTGAGGAATGGAAGGGGGAGTTCAAGTGGTTCGCGACTGGGAGATGCAGTTGTTTAGTGCGAACCGAGCATAGGTCTTCCGCTAAGCGGTCCCCAAGCCTCCGCTTCTAACTGCCTGCCTTAGACATGATGGAGTAACTACAATTAACCTCTTTACCATGTGTTACGACACACATTATGTCGGCAAGTGCCAAGATAAGCCTTAAACCTGGAGCTTCTGGTTCAGAGGTAGGGGAGATACCTCCAGAAAAAAGTGTTTTTTTTTTATAATGGTGGGAGACTGGGCAGCCTTGTTATTCAGAGAAACCTGGGTGTTCTCATATGTGAATCACACAATGTTAACATGCAGGTATTACAAGCAATTAGGAAATCAAATTTTATGTTAGCATTTATGACAAAGGGTGGAAGTACAAGGATAAACGTGGCTTTTTACAATTATACAGGGCTTTGAAGAGACTACACCAGGAGAGCTGCCCAGGAGAGAATATAAGAAAGGTTCTTTAACTGACTCAGGGGTGGCACAGTGGCTCAGTGGTTAGCATTGCTGCCTCACAGCGCCAGGGACCCAGGTTCGATTCCACCCTCAGATGACTGTGCAAATTTCACACAGACACAGACATTCTTCCCGTGTCTACATGAATTTCCTCCGGGTGCTCTGGTTTCCTCCCACAGTCCAAAGATGTGCAGATTAGGTGGATTGGTCATGCTAAATTACCCACAGTATCCAAGGATGCGCAGGCTTGGTGGATTAGCTATGGGGAGTGCAGGGTTACAGGGGCAGGTCTGGGTGAGATGTCCTTCAGAGGCTCAGAATGGACTCGATGGGCCAAATGGTCCGTTTCCACACTGTAGGGATTCTATGATTTCCAGGATGAAGGAATTGCCCAATGGGGGAATCAAATGAGTGGACTGGACATCCAGATTCTTTGGAATTTAGATGAAACTGAGTTGTTCCCATTGAAAGATCAAAAATTCCTGAGAAACTTGACAGTGAATGCTGGAAGGATTGTTCGCCCTGCATAATCTAAAGCCAAGGCTCAGAATCTCCAGATAGGGGCCATTTAGGGGTGAGATGAGCAATTTGTTCAAACAAAATATTGTCTTTCCTGAGAATCCTGGGCTCTATCAGCAAGTACATTGAAGGTAGAGTCTGATGGACTTTTGGATGGTAAGGGAATGAAGGGATGTGGGAATAATGCAGAAAGGTGGAATGGAGATGGAAAATCAGCCCGATTATCTTTAGAGCACAGGAAATCGGAGCTGGTGTATACCTTGGTGCCTGCTGAGCTTGCTCCACCTTTCAACATGATCATGGCCGACCGCAAGCCAACTCCCTCATTTCCCTGAGACACTGGAAATCTGTCAATCTC